CACACTGCTGACTTCTTCCGAGCAGATAACACAGCTGCTGTGCACACCCAGCACGTGGGCTTCAACCGGCAAGAGCAGGATGTGTTCCTCCTTCCCATCCTCGTTGTGGACAGTGGGCCACCCACACTGAGCAGCACGGGCACCCTCACCATCCGCATCTGCGGCTGTGACAGCTCCGGCACCATCCAGTCCTGCAACACCACGGCCTTCGTCGTGGCTGCCTCCCTCAGCCCCGGCGCGCTCATTGCTCTCTTGGTCTGCGTCCTCATTCTGGTCGGTGAGTCTGAGAGCATTCCACCATTGCTGGACTGGGTATCCTGCCCAGATAGACCACAGCCTGAGAAAGGAGCCTCGGTCTCCCCTACATAAAGATGGGCTGGCTAGAACCATCTCTGACCTCTGCCTCGGTGGGAAGTCTCTGAAGTGCAGATGGTGGCCTACTTGGGACAGAGTTCATGCAGTGCCCCTCACCCAGCTCAGGCCAGGGGCTCATTCCTGTAATCTCAGCACTTGGAAAGTTGAGGCAGGAGGATTGCCGTAAGTTAGAGGCTAGCCTGAGCTATGTAGTAAGTTCCAGACCAACCTGGACTACAGAATGACACCCCTTATCAATAAAAAAGAAACAGGGAGCTGAGATGTGGTCTAATTGGTAGAGTGCTTGCCCAGAATACATGAAGCCCTGGGTTCAATCCCTGGTACTGCATAAATCGAGGAGGAAGATGCAGGGCTGTGACCTCAACACCTCAGAAGTCAAGAGACAAGAGTATCAGAAGTTAGTCATCTTTGACTATAGAGGGAGTTTGAGACAAACCTATTGGACATGGAACCTTGCTTCAAAGAGGTCAGGAACCAAGCATATTTCTAAAATTCTCTTGTCTAGTGCCCTTCTTAGTTCTTCATAAAGAGAAGCATGGCTGCATGGCCAGATGTATCAACCCATTTCTCAGGTGAAGAAACTGAGGTTCACAGAGGTTATGTGCCTTGGCTAAGGTGACACAGGTTAGGTCTCCTTAGTCTGTGTCTCCACCTCTAACTCTGCCACCCGCCATGGAATAAAACTGGGGACAGCACCTTAGGGCACTTGGGATGTCTTTAGACATTGGAGACACTGGTACTGGAAGCCATTTCAACCCCAGTATTCCTGGGGAGAAGAGATGTGAGCAGCCACCCAAGTGCAGATGGTAGACAGAACAGCCAGAGCTAGGGGTTCTCTGCAGACCGTGCTCGCCAGCCCTGCCCGGCCCCCCAGATGACAACCCCCTTGTGCTGCCCACCCTCCAGTGACCTACTCTGCCCCTCCAGATCCCTGCAGAGGCGCTAGACAGACCCTGCCTAGTCAGGAGGGCAGCCCGCTCCCTCCCCACCACAGCCCACGGCTCAGAAACCCTTTTTCCAGAGGGTGCACTTTACAGCGGTTTCATTTTCCGAAGCAGTGCAAACAAATTTCTGCCTAATTGCCCACAAACGAAGAAAGTGCACATCAGTGCTCTAAAGGTGACGGGCGGAATCTCTGATCAGGTCTGGCACATCTGTCGCCGCCGCCCGCAAAATCCCCGCCATCTGCTCTCGTGGGCATCCCCTCCACAGCTCCGGGTCTCCAGCTCCAAACGTTGTCCATCCATCTTCTCCACTTCTCTCTTGACACCGTCCTTCCCTCCAGCCCTCCCTCAAGGCCTGTCTCCAGCCCCGGCTCCCTCCCCTGTAGTAAACTACCATGTTAGGTGGTGAGCTCAGTACCCTGTGCTGTGGCCCTCACAGCTGGCTCTGGCCACAGGCCTGGCTGCATCTGTCTGGAGCTGCAAAAGTCTAAAGCCTGCCACAGTGCTCAGCATGTATCTGTCCATCCATGTATCCATCCATCTATCCACTATCATTTATTTACAAATCCACCCAGTGAAACCCTCTCAGGTGCTGACTGTTTCCACAATACGGTTCATTACTGAGCAAGAGATTTTTGTTGTTGTTGTTGTTGTTTGGTTTTTGAGACAGAGTTTCTCCATGTAGCTTTGGAGCCTGTCCTGGATCTCACTCTGTAGACCAGGCTGGTTCCGAACTCACAGAGATCCACCTGGCTCTGACTCCTGAGTGCTGGGATTAAAGGCGTGTGCCATCACCGCCTGGCTAAGAGATTTTTTTTTTTTTTAATTCATTCTTGGAGCTGGAGAGATGGCTCAGCAGTTAAGAACACTGGCTGCTCTTCCAGAGGACCCTGGGTTCCATTCTCAGCACCCACATGGCAGCTCACAAAGCGTCTGTAACTGCAGGTGCAGGGGATCTGACCCCTCTATGTGTGATCGACCAGCACTAAACACATACTGCACAGACATACAGGCAAGCAAAGCACCCATACACAAAAAGTAAACCAAATTAAATTTTTTTTCTTTATTTCATACATGTATACAATGTATCTGGGTTGTATCCACCCACACACACCCCAGACCTCCCCCACATGTCCCCTCCCCGCCCTCAGGTCCTCTTTGTGTTTCCTCTATGATAACCCACTGAGTCCCGTGAGTGCCATGTGTGGCCATCCACTGGGACCTGGGCAGCCTGCTAGGGACCAGACCCCTGAAGAAAAATGACTCTTCCTCTCTCAGCTCCAGCCAGCTTTAGGGCTAAGGATAGGACCTTGCTGGCCCCTCCCCTGTCCTTGCTGGAATGTGGACTGGCTTGATCTTGTACACAGCTGCTGTGGATGTGACAGCCCAGTCCAGAAGACAGCTCCGCATCCCTCCTGCCCTCCAGCTCCTACATTCTCTCCTCCCCCTTTCCATCAGGTTCCCTGAGCCCTGGTGCAGGGACAGGGGTTAGTGGGAAAGAGATTATTTCTTCCAACTTTGGGTGTGCGAAGTTTGAGGTTCTCTTGGTCAGCCAAGAGTACTGGCAATTGGTTGAATCTGGATTTCAGGGGAGAGGTCCAGGCTGGGGCCAGAGATACTGGAGTTGTTAGAGGGAAGTCAAAGCCACGGGCCTGCAGGACAGTGCCAAGTGAGGGAGAGTTATGGAGGAACAGGTCCTGGGAAGACTGCTAGGGAGCTGGGGAAGCAGGGGGTGGGCGCTGTTTGGAGGAAGAGAAGAGGAATGTGAAGTCTTGGAGGCCAGATGAAGGAGGACAAGAAGCGTAGAGAATCAGTCATTCACTCCCTCTCACCGCCAGGTCTGTAGGCAACTCCTTGTTCATTCACTCATTCATTCATTCATTCATTCATTCATTCATTCATTCACTCAGCAAGCACACATCCAATTCTTTACCATACCAGGCACTAAGCCAGGGGGACGTTTTCAGGTCCCAGAGGATATTTATTGGGGTTAACTTGGCAGGACCTGGTCTGTGGTAGGCCATCCCTCTTTAGTTGAGATGAGGAAAGGGAAGACCTCAGAAGCAGATCTAGGACCCACTGAGGACCCGGCTGACAAGAATTCCCTGCAGCTGCTGCTTGTGGAACAGCCACACTGAGAACTAGGAGACAGAGGGATGAGACCTTCCCTCCACTGGGGGCTTGGAGCTGGGTCACTGGACCTGGCTAGAGCTCTTGGGGAGAGAACCCTGGGGGTCCTGACTGAGACACTGAATGGGAAGCAGAGAATTCTGGGGTGGACAGAGGCGGGCAAGGACAGAAGACAGGTGCCCTCAACCTTACAGCAGCGTCTAGAGCCAAGGATGGCTGGCCCTCGAATCGGGTGTAAATCCTTAGCACAGCTCTGCTGGGCAACCCCAGCCCCACTAGCCCTATAAATACAATTTGCATACCTCCTGAGACGAATAGCTCACCACCTACCTGGAGGGCCAGCTCAGTTCTCACCACAAGAAATGGGAAACCTAGGGAACTTTTAAGGACCACGAAGCTCTGCTGTGGCATTGGGGGATGGAGGGAGGCCAGGCAGTATGCTGAGCTCAGCCCTCACTCTGTCTCCCTGTTCCCTCCCGCCACCCCACCCCACCCCACCCCGCAGTGCTGGCTCTGCTAATCCTCACCCTCAGGCGTCACCACAAGAGCCACCTGAGCTCGGACGTGGATGAGGACATGCGGGACAACGTGATCAAATACAACGACGAGGGCGGCGGCGAGCAGGACACCGAGGCCTATGACATGTCAGCGCTGCGGAGCCTCTACGATTTCGGGGAGCTCAAGGGTGGCGACGCGGGCGGGGGAGCGGCCAGTCCCCCACAGGCTGCCTCCTCCTCCGAGCGCCACTCGCTGCCTCGGGGCCCGTCGAGCCCGGAGCCGGACTTCTCGGTGTTCAGGGACTTCATCAGCCGCAAGGTGGCGCTGGCGGACGCGGACCTGTCGGTGCCGCCCTACGACGCCTTCCAGACCTACGCGTTCGAGGGCGCGGGCTCGCCGGCTGCCTCGCTCAGCTCGCTGCACAGCGGCTCCACCGGCTCCGAGCAGGACTTCGCTTTTCTCCGCGCCTGGGGCCCGCGCTTCCGACCGCTGGCCGCGCTCTACGCCGGCCACCGTGGGGACGACGAGGCCCCGGCCTCCTAGCCCCAACCGGGCCAGTCCGGCAGCGCGGCCCGACGGGAGGGGACCTGCATGGCTCCCGCGCCGCGACACGCCCCCAAGGGGTGAAGCTTGCGAGGACTCAGGGGTGCGGGATGGTGACCAACGTCAGGAGAAGGGAGGGGAACCCGACCTGCGCAGCCCTGGGGTTGGAAGGGACCGCGGAGGGGGGAACCCCATGCTGGGAAAGGACCTGGGAAGAGAAAGCGGAGGAGGGCGCTGCTGCCGTGCCCACCCCAAGGCTTTCTGGCATTCAAGTAAAGATGAAGGAAGGGCTGGTCATTTACTAAGCACCTACTGTGTGCTGGGAGCTACCCAGAGACCGACTGCATTGTTGTAGAAACTATGAGGTGGCGTTCCAAAGGTGACAAGATAGGAAAGCCCCCCAGAGAAGTGGTTGTGACCTGCCCGGGGACACGCAGACAGCGAGTGGTGGAGCCTCCCGCACTGACCAGCTGCCTGGACAAGTCACCTCATTTCTCTGGGCCCCAGTTTCCTCATCTGTCAAATGAGGTTAATAACAGCACCTACCTCGAAGATTTGGAAAGGGTTCAGGTGTCAAGTCGTTGGGCAGTGCCTGGCACAGAGTAGGTGTTCAATAAATGCTCGCCTTTGTTACTAGCCTCATCCTTGTGCTTGCTGGAGGCCCGTGTGTCTGAGCTCACTCCCTCACCCTCTGGCTCCTCCCAACACCTCCGAGGGAAGAGGAATTGGTCCCAGCTGTCAGCCCCTGGTCCTCCTCTGAGGGAAAACAGATGTGCCTAGCAACTGCAGAATCTTCCTGCTCCTTGGGCTATATCAGCATGAGCCCCCTGGCAAGGATGCTAAAAACAAGATGAGCTTGGGCGGAGAGAAAAGGCTGTGCACAGCGGTGATGTTATCTGTCTGTTGTGGGAGCTGGGGTCTTTCCCTACAACTTAAGGTTCTCCTGGCCTTGGCACAGTGGCCCAGACCCGTAATCCCAGCAGCACTTGGGAGGGAAAAGCAAGAGGATCAGAAGTTCGAAGACACCCCCAGCTACTTCATGAGTTTGAGGCAGCCTGGGCTACATGAGACCCTGTTTATAAGATAATGGCTGTCTTCTGTCCTCCTTCCCAGCCCCTCTGGGGTGCCTCAGTGATTACCCATGGGCCTGGCATGGATTCCAGCTCCTGATAGCTGGCCACCCTTCATCCAGGCCATCTACTGCTGAAGCCTCAGTTTGCTCAGCTGTAAAGTGGGGGTTGTGGATGCCGAGCTCCGATCTCAGGGCCTCCCTGACATGTAAGGGGTATCCAGTAAATGTTCCTTGCTTACCTTGTCACCCTCCCAGGGAACTCCCCCTCCTTCTCTCCATGCCAAAAAGGTCCACAGCGGTGATCTAGAGGAAGCTGGTGTGCCCTGAATGCCACCACACACCCCACCCTAATTCAGAGACCAGGAAACAGGCTCACGAAAACAATGTGCCCAAAGCTACACAGATAGGTCGTTTTATTATTATTATTATTATTATCATCATCATCATCATCATCATTATTATTTTATTGGGGTGCATTAGTGTGTGTGTGTGTGTGTGTGTGTGTGTGTGTGTGTGTGTGTGTGTATGTATGTACCACCTCCCATATGGAAAGAAGACAACTTTCAGGAGTTGGTTCTCTCCTCCCATGGTGTGTTCCAGGACCCCGTTTGGGTGGCCAAGCCCTTTCACCCAGGAAGCCATCTCGCCGGCCCCAGTAAGGACTTCCTGCCTTCCTGTAGCTCAAGGCCTGGGAGACAAAGACAGAGGCCGCTTGCGATAACACCTTTGATGAAGCAGACTGAACAGCGAAGCCCCGGGAGTATGGGAGAGAGAGTGGATAATTCCTGGGGCCTGCTGGGTCTTGAAGCATGAGCGTGAGATGGATGAGGTGGCCAGGCAAGCGGGGGCCTCCCAAGAGGCACAACAGCATCTGCAAAGGCTGGGCTGGGTAGGTGGCGGTGCGGGACTGCTTCCGGCAAAGCAGGTGGTTCCCTGAGCTGGCTCACCAGGAGGAGGAGGAGGCTGAGTCAGGGAAGGCTGTGGAAAGATCTTGAAGGCTGGACTAAGGAACTTGTGGCTTTGCTCACCTTGAACCTTGGTGAAGGAGGCCCAGCCTGCAAGAGCTGGGATTCACACCAGGCCCATGTGCAACCATTGATTCACCTCGGGGCCTGGGAGGGAGTTCAGGAGGCCGCTGTTGTCTTATAATCATCGCTCTATAGACATTGATCCATCTTCGGAGGACCACTGTGGTGGCTGATGGCAGGAACATGGGTGGTGAGTGAAGCAGGGGACGTGGGAGTCACATTCTTGCTACCAGGGACCCTCAGCCCCCCCGAGTCCCGTAGTTAATACAGCAAATGAGCATTTGAGGACCCAGCTCTCCCAGAGCCCAGAGACAGCTCTGAGGCTGCTCATTGTCATGTCCCTTGCCAAGAGGAAAACTGAGACTAGGGGGGAACGAGGTGACTTTCAAGGTCACCCAGCTATTAACAGCTGGGGCAAGGCAGGGCTCACCCCAAGCCTGTTCTGTACACACACACACACACACACACACACACACACACACACACACACACACAGGGTTGCCTTGACTGATTCTGATCCCCCCAAACAGGGAGATGACCTATTCAGAAGGATACAATGTCACGGGCCCAAACTCTGCACATGACCTGGGAAGGTCACAAAGTCAAAAGGCTGCTTTGTCTGCTGTGTGACTTTGAACAACCTGTTCATGCTCTCTGTACCTCCATTCTCTTACCCATCAGAGCAAGCACACAAGTTGTTCGAACAGCAACTCCACGAGGTGATGGTGAGGTCAGAATGCCATCTTAATATCCAGCGTTGAACACTTCCCCAGAGTTAGCTCGTAAGCAATGGGTAACCTCGGTTTATAGACAAGGAAACTGAGACGCAAAGAGAAGATGACTCGGTCCAAGTCGAACAGATTGAAAGAAGTGGAGACGGTGACGTTTAACGATGGGTACTCTGGTGTGATGCCACCCGGTCCGCAGCCCTGGGGCAAGGCACACTGTCAGCCCTCAGCATGTGCTGGCCTCTCTGAATGTCACCACCCACGTACCAGTGCCAACCTACCCAGTCTGTGGTCCTCAAGCCTCTGCTGGCTCTGGGGTGGGGCTACAAGGAAAGGCTCCCCCCTGCCCCAGATCCCTTTTTCCATCTGCAGCGTGGTTCTGGCCTCCCCGAGACAGTAAGGCACCCATGTGTTCGGTCCCTTCCCGGGTTCTAACCAGTGCCCACTCACGCCCTCTGGGCGTCTCTGATGAGCTGGGGTGACTCTAAAAGATCTCATGGGGTACATAGCCTTCAATGGTTGGTCTCACAAGGCCCCCAGGAGTCCCAAACTGTCTGCCTGTTTTAGGCAGAGAATAGTGCCACCAAGCAAGTGCCAGGCACCAAAAAGGCACAGCCAGCTCTGCCTGTGAGCTCAGAGATGAAGGTCTTTTGTCCGTAATGTCTGCCCTCTGCACAAGGTCACTAGGAAAATGAAAGACAAACGAAATCCCCTCGTGTTACCATCCACCTTGTCACCAGCGTCGCCGTGAGAGAAGACGGGCGGTCTCCAATGAAAAATCAGGCTGAGTGACAGTGATGTACTGGCCATGGCGACGGCAGCACACTTATGTAGCACTTGCTGCATGCCTGACTAATTAAGCAACACCATATGATAAATATGAATCCATATGAGACTAATTCTGTTCCATGTCTAGCTCTTCACATACCTGTGGCCTGTTCCATTTTAAAGTGTGGTTCTTTTGAGTGCCTGTTTTACAAAGCTGATACAAGGAACCCCAAGTTCACAGACGCAGAGGCCTTTGCTCAAGTGCACAAAGCCCGGGCAGCACATGTAGTTCAGTCAATAGGGTGTTCACCTGGCATGCACCAAGTTCTAAGTTCTATCCCCAATACCGCATGAACCAGATGTGGGGGCACAGGC